CTGGTTAGCTATAGTCATTTCAAATAACATTCAGAAATGACATAACATTTCAATTGATGAAACCTATCGAAAATCAGAACGTATTTCTGATAGTGTATGTTCATCGATCTACATAGCAACTTCCTGATTTACTAAGCTTTTTTTAAAGAATACTTATATATAATTATTTGGCTTGGGATAAGGTTATATTTTAATCCAAAATAACCGATAATGTCTAGTCAGCAACAGAATAATCTATGGTTCATTTATCATACACACGCACACATGTTTTTCTAGTCAACACATTTATATCAAATGTTGGTCACAAAAGTGATTGGAAAGTGACAAAAGAACATGCATCAACTAGTAACACATAAAGCGTTTTGCATTATATACATATCACTTTATTGAATAAATGTTCATTAAATTTCAAGCCCTATCAGTAATCGTTGATAAAGAAAATATAATTATTATGGTATATCCTCTGGAAGTGTTGAAGTTTCTATCGATCAAGAACGTATTGACAATAGACTGTATAGTAAACAAACTCATTACAACAAGATAACAATTATTTCACTCACATTTAGGATATCATTAAAAGAATGAATGAAATATATGCTTTGTGTATACTAGAAAATAAAGTGGTAAATCTTTTATTATAGTCTGTAACCTAATAATTTCACAAGCTAATAAAATATAATTTTAATTGTTGAATCCGTGAGTCAATTGAAGCTAAACCACTATGGAAATTCTAGGAAGCACTGAACGGCCGTTTCGTCCTATTGTGCGGCGCCTCAGCAGTGCTTATCCACGATCTCACCTCGTGAGATAAATAAAATATATTTGTCACTAATAGTTACATTGGTGCATTCAATAAAATAAAATGTGATTACAATTAAGTAATATTGAATTAAATGAACGGGTATATGTAGTTTTCTTAATAATAAATTCTGTACTACCAATCATATGACATCCGAACCAACATTTGCACAGTTATTATCCAGTTTATGTATTAATTACTGCTACTAAATGATATTCTTGAGTGTTTCCCTTAACGTAACCAATAATTACACATTTATTATATATTTTTCAACAATAAATAATCAGTCTGAATAAATAATTACTTTGTTCAAGTTCCAGTGAAAACGTCAAACGGGAATCCAAGTATATCTAGCGTTTTAGATTCTTTAACTAGCCACTATCGAGAACGCTGTTTAAATATTTCTTTTTATACTATCATGATTGAAGATACTCAGCAGTTAGAATTTGCAGCCACCTTCAATACAACAAATATAATAATCAGGAATAAAACTAACTTAATTCTCCTATAATGAACATTTTAGTACCGATGATCGATTATTATCATAAGTGTGTGAAATTTGTATAAAATAATCTTTTCATCTATATCTGAAGTTATTCGAAAGAAAAACTGTCCCAAACTACCGATAATTGAAAAACATGCCTTTTTTGTGACACATAATCAACTCTATTTATTTATTTACTTAAACACATAAACATTGATACAAGGAGGTACCAAATAGATATGCGCTACATAAATCATTCGATTCGTGTAAGGGCTGGGATACTGCCCGGGTGCCCGGACCGAAGCAGGTGGTTTTCTCAGAGGGTCACACCCCGAGCCTTTGACCTAAAGGTCTGATCCGAAAAACAGTGGAGCATCGTGAGGAGATGCAGTCACATGGTAGCCGGTGACCAACGATTGGTTCATACGCCATTTGTTCCCACAGGATACTGGAGCCCTTGTACACCATTGGTTTGGAATCCGGTTAAAGCGCCGGACATTCTCTTTTCGTCCTCTCAATTTCGTAAACAACACTCCCGCCACGGAAAGGCAGTGAGTAGGACTTCGCTGGCAGAGGCTGTATACGCGTGGCTGTGTGTGAGCATTTCGAGAGTGAGGGTGGGCTCACCCCACTCTCGACCATACAAGGGCATTTGTGGGAAATGAACTCAATTCAATTTAACCAAAACTTTCCAGCACTATTGAAATTTTAGAAGAAAAAAAAATGAAATAAAGATAATTTTCAAGTTAACTGGGTTATGACTATAATTAATTTTTTTTTAAAATAATATCTATTAAAAATCACGTTAGTTCAGTAATAAACGTAACCAAAGACTATCCTATTCAGTTATCTTTATCGGTATCCTCCATTCATTATTATTTATACGGAAACAGTATGAAAATTTAGCGTTGTTTCATCTTGAAAATAATTAAAATGAATGAATTAAATTTATTCACTCTAATGAACAAATAAAATAATATCTCTGTTGTAATACATTCAGTTATTTTCAAGAAAACATAGTTACCTTTAATTATTCCATACAAAAATCATTTCTTGATTGGTTTTATACAATCATCACGTTCCACGAAATAATTGATAATGATTTCTTTTGTTTTCTTCAAGTGATGGGTGAAGGTCCAAGTGGAAAATACAATTATCTTTTCTAAGATTTATGATATACTTTGTAAATAACAAAATAACTTCGTCAATAAGTGGAATGATTTCCATTAGTTACTGTCCTTAAACTATGATTATTTAGTTACATGCTTCATATATTTTAGAAGTTATTTAGGCATTTCGCTTCTTTTAATTATGAATAGGACTTGTTTATAAGATTTTTATTCTATAATAAGATTACAATATTCTTTTGAGAAATTTAGTTATTCTACAAAAATTTATTTTATCAGAAGGGAGTTTTGTGGATATTTTGGTAATTTTATAGTTGAATTCGCGAGTTAAATAAAGCAAGACCACCATGGAAAACCTGGAAGCACTGGACAAACGTTTCGTCCTAGTATGCTACTCCTCAGCAAAGTGCATCCATCGTTGGATGCCGACTTACTAGTCTAGAATTTAAGGACTTGCGTGCGAGATTGGTAGGCCCTGGGTTCAAATCCTGAAAGAGGATCGTGGATGCGCACTGTCTATGAATCTCGTACTAGGATAAAAAGGCCATCCAGTGCTTCCAGGTTTTCAATGGTGGTCCAGCATCAATTGACTCATGGATTCAACTATAAAAAGATTATTTGTTATTTAAAACCTTGATAAGTCAAAACTAATGATTATAATTCGAGTATGTGTGTTATGTTAAAACCTTTATTAGAAAATGCGAACTTAATAAGATCCATTTAAATGAGGTTTTTGTTCTCAATAATAAAAACAATAATAAGTATTAATATCAAGGATGGATTTGATACTTTCAAATATCTGAAGACCTGACTTATGTTCAGTTGCGTAACGTCAGAACGTCAAGTTTCTACAGATTGAGATATCAAGAAATATTATTATTATTTCATTATTAAAAATGTTTTTATTCAATGAGATTTTAAACTGTCAGTTCTGTTTACAAATCTTGTATGTCGCAAAATATTATACATAAATTTTTCACGCTGGTCAACTTTTGATTCGAGAATTATGCTTTACATACATTGATCTGTGTATATTGTCACAACTCTAACTAATATTCGCTTGTTATACTGTTCCCTGATATCATTCAATAAGCTTGAATTTAAGAACATACAAAAGTTTGCACTTGCGTAAATATAATGAGGTACAGTTATGAAATACAGAACAAGGGCTTCAAATGTTTCCTTGACAGATACTTATATTCCTCATTCAGTAAACTTTATTTTATTTTCATTCATATTTCCGTCTTTACTTGACCTTTAAAATATCAATGATAACTTGTCAGGCAAATAAGACTACGATGTATAATATATTCGATCAGTCTATTTCATTGATGTTACTTTCAGCTTTAGACGATAGATTCATCATTCGGTGAACCACTTAGTGTATGGCGAATTAAAAATGCAAATAACTGTTTGAGATTTATACATCAGTGAGCACCGCGTTTTATTCGCACATTATTATTCAAGTATTGTATAAGATAAGTCTGAATTAAATACTCTAAGTATTGAATGATATTAACATTTAAGACATTCATTTCAGTCTTTAAAATGTATTCAAATGACTAGTGTTTTAAAAAAAATTCATCAGTCTAACCCAGTGATTCTTTTGTTGTCATGTATTCCACCAACTTGACTATGTGAGAAGTAAGATAAGTCCATTTGCAATAAAACTCAATACAACTTAAATCTAAAATGTAATAGATTACATTATTATAAATCTCTCAATATATTCAGTTTTACTATATAGGATGAAAATTGGCTAATTTCTGTGCTCAACATAAGACTTATTCATAGTGATGAACAACATTATGATCTTGTTAAGTTATTGGTTTGTGATAACACTTGTGATTGAATAAATAATCTTTTTTAGTATTTCAGTTGTTTCCAAGATCAACATTTTGATTTTTTCAATCACCATTTTAGATATAATAATGAAAATATTGTAGACATTAAACATAAAATTGTATAAAGAGAACTGAAAAACAGATTTCAGTTACAAATTATTCATAATCCTAGTCAATACTTATGATATTGAAGAGAATTAATACGGAACACACTCTTGTAAGGTGAAGAACCTAGAAAGGAATGGTAGGTAGGTCAGTAAAATTAAAGTCTACTGTTTTCTTTCCGTACACACCCTCTTGTAAATTCTCTTACCATTTATCCTAAATTTATTCATCTATTTAATTTTCAACCAATCGGAATCCATATATTTGTTTTCTTCCGTATACCAGAAACGGGACTCAATTATTTTGACCAATGAAAGTTCAGAACTGATTCCTTCATCAAATTAATAACTAGATACATATTTTTAAGCAAGAAACATTGATGAAAATCAATATAACTTGAGATTATCTTTGTTGCTATTACTATTAATAATATTACTGCTATCAATACTACTATTATTTCTACTTTCAATTAAGATAAGTGGACTATCAGGAGATAATACTGGGGAAATAATTTTGACAAGTATTTTCAACAATCAATTCCAAAGAAAAAAAATTGGTTTTGCAATTAAAACCTTTTCACAAGGAATTTTATATACTGTACTATTAACACATATACATATAAATTTGATCAATCTTCAGAAATGGTTGATGACTGGGTTATTAAAACTATGTATGCGACAAAACGGCGCAGAAAAAATCCTAAAAGGTTAGTAGATAGAATAATACTTTTTTTAGAGATCAATAACCTCTTGGGTCTACATCTAGTATGCGTTTTATTTTAGTGATTGACTTTGTAAACATGCAATATCAACATCCATTATGGAATAATTATTTATTTAGCATGTTATTGCATGTACAAGAGTTCTATTCGTTTATATATATATCCGTAATCATGGTTAATAAACTGTATAAAACTTAAGCTACTCGAATTCGTTTGAAGATACCAATTTATAATTTGTCAGTGAAATTCTTTCTAGTGCATATCAATAGATGATACTGAAATGATATCTTGTCGATTCAAGATGTGATCAAAACGTAGGGAGACTTTACTTTTAACTTAATGTAGCAACATTTTTTAACAAGACAAACCAATAAATGCCCTTATGAATCAACATACAAATAACTCAGTACTAGTTAACATAAACTATAGATGAAAGGAAGGAATGAATCATTGAACTTAATAAGCAAAAAATACATGGTGTATCTAATGTGGTTGTTTAAAAAAACTTGGTGAATGATTCTTACTTTCTCAGTATTTATTGATATGCGGGGAAATTCTACAAAGAGATCCTGATCATTTATATAATCTTAAATTTGTCTTCTAAAAAAGGAACATAATTACTAGTTAGCGAGTTATGCTCGAGTGCTTCTATACTAAACGTCAATTATCACAATTTAAAACTAAAAAAAAGTTCTGAAAAGAAGTTACATGTAATCAATTCATAAATCTTTAGATGACAAGCTCTCTTGTCAAAACAAATATATTAATAAGTTTATATGCACCGATTAGAACGACTGAAAAACATCATTCACTGTGTTTTCACTGTATAAAATTTTTTCTATTGAGATCATGAACTTATCAATGCCAAAACTTTGTTGAAAACCTGGAAGCAATGGACGACCGTTTCGTCTTAGTGCGCGGCTCTTCAGCAATGCTCATTCCATACTTGGGACTCGAAACCAGGAACTTTAGTTTCATGCGTGAATGCTTAACCTCTAGACCACCATTTGATATGATATTGACTAAAAAATTTCTACATGTCACAGAATATATATATTTAATTTTAAGAAAAAATCTGGATTATTTGATCAACATAATTTTATGTTACAGACTTGAGCAAATGAAGAATAGTGTCAAACTTTAATACTAATTACTACTAGTTTCAAATCTAGTTGATATATTGTTTTTAATAGCATGAATAGAAGAAATTATAGGTACCTCACTGACCATACATTGACTTTTGTCAATTTTTACTAAATAGATCTAGGAATTTTCTATGCTATTATTAACTAAGACGATACTAATAATCATTTTTATCTTAATAGTTCATACCATTTGAATATGATGGAATTCAGAAATATGTAAATTACTAAGCAAAGATGGATAGTGACTAGCAGTGAAATCCATGACGCACGTTTCGTTCTATCTGGGAATCGCCAGTCGGATGTACCTACATCTCAGAGTTGATATTCACTCCAGGATTCGAACTGAGTACCATTCTCTTCAAGTGCCATCACGTTATCCACTTAGCTACTGAGTTCTGATAGCCACTTGCTTGTGTAATGAGTTGAAGTTTAAATTCATTTTGTGTAGTTTTTCTGAATCTACTCAATGATATTAAGTACTGCAACTGATCAGTCTCTTATTGGTATATGTGCATCCTCTGTGCATTACCTCGATAATGCCTTAATTACCAAATAGGACAGAACGCGCTTTCTGAATTCCACTATTAACCATCATCCATCTTTGCTTATAATGTTTGTGAATTAAGACAATATCGAAGCATACTGTACAGAATGCACATATGCCAATAAGTGATTGATCAATTGCAGTTTTAAACTTCAATGGGAAGATTCAGACAAACAATACAAAATGTATGTAAATTACTGTTAGGCTAATGGATTAGAATAAAATTATTAATATTTAACGTTTATTTTCACTGTTAACATTATTAACTCTTTAGTATAAGTTTGTCACTTAAAATTTCAAGAAAGTACATTTCCATAATTTTAAGTGATCAATAGTTTGTTTTCACGTAAAATATTACAATGTTATTATCAATATTGCTTTAAATATAAGATATTTACTACTAGGTTAACCACTGAAAACGACTATCAGGAAGCAAATGATTATCTTAAAGATATTTTACAGAGAATCCCTAAATTTTATGATATCAATACTATTTTGTAGGTAAACCCTAGTGTGCTTTAAGTATCACAGAATATTCATCATTCATTTATTAAGATAATGTGCTACAACTGAAGCCATTAAAAAGAAAACTCTATGATAATTTAAATTTAATTACCGTAACTTTTATTCAATATTTCATTTAATATTGTGAATACAGTGAAAATGAAACAGAATACAGAATATAAGAGAAAGTAAATTAGTAAACAGATGGTTACTTCTCTCCTATAGATCATATCTACTGAAAGAATCGCAAGTGAACTCATCTACACACACACACACTCTCTCTCTCTCTCCCATATACCTGTCTATCCAAATACATTCATACATTTTATTAATTTATATGCCGTGTATCCCTGTGTTTGTTTTATCATTGACTTTCTTTCAAATAAACCAACTAACTACACACAGTCAAGCAGTCACTCACTTCTACGTTTGTCTATGGATTGACAGGGGTAGTGAAAATACACTTCTACCAAAATCCTTCTTTCAAAATTCAATTTCTCATAGACTCGAATGATTAGTATATTAGTATATTATGAATGAATAAGAAATCTGTTCCGCCCATAACAAAACTACAATACAAGTTCACCAATGCTAACACAGTTGAGTCAAATTCTGTAAAACAGTATAAACTGGAAATGGAAAATTGGATAAAGCACGCGACAGATGGATGTCATGCAAATATGAAATCTGATTTCAAGATATTATCGATATATATTAAGATGATAGTATTCATCAGTAGTATGATTAGCGTCATGGTGAATTCTGTTATTCAGTGTACTGATAAAGATTACTGTCAATACATGAGTATTAGAGTTGGATGTATACTCGTATAACTCAATAAGATATTAATATATTACTTTCAAAATAAATTCACTTGAATGAATATACATTTTAAAAAATGGAATAACAAAGAATATTACATGATTAGAACCCAGTTAATTCTGGTATAGCCTCTTAGAAACCAAGTGCAAATTTATTAATATTCATATAAACATTTTAATTCTAGTTGTTTGAAAATAATGCAGTAGAGAAGTAATTTCAATGGAAATAAATGAATATGTACAATGCATGTATCAGAGCATCATATAGAATGAAATTTAAGTTGTTTGTTGAACTCTATATAATTGATTCTAGTTGATCTTCAGCTTTATAGAAGTTTATAATATGCTGGATTTTACTGTCTTATTCATCTATAACGAATGTGTTATTTCTTATTATTGATATTCTTAGTATAACTACTTCTTTTTCGAATATTTTAACATTAACAATGAGACTTTTAAATAAGATTTACATTCCATTTAGTTTCAGCTATAATTAAGATCGTGTTTCAACCTAAACTAATTTTAATTAGTTAGTTCTGGTGAGAAGCCGTATCTAGTGAATTTCAACCGGGTCTGTTGTGAGATAGCAATCCACTGATGACAATATTGGAGAGTGGCGAAATTCCGTGGATTGGTTGAAGTTAAACATTAAAACCGTTGGATGCTGGTTCAATGGTTTAGAAATTAAGCGCTCGCGAGCGAGACTGATGGGTCCTGGATTCGAACCTCACGAGGTGGGATCGTGGAGTCACACTCCTGAGGAGTCCCATACTGGGACTTTCAGGTTTCCGATAACTCATGAATGCAACTCATAAGTGTTCTTATCTCTGGTGTTTAGATTTCATTTTTAATGTTCTGAATAATAAGTTTTTCGTACTATTAGATTTATCCCCATGGCTTTTCGTACTATACAGTTTCGTTGAAACTGAGTGAATGAACTATTACAACATTCAGATGTGTAAAAATCTAAAATAGAATTAAATTCTCTTTTCATAAGTACATAACAAATTCTGATTATATGTATGATTATAACTTTGAGAAGATCGTATTTTGGAAGTTATACTGTAGAATATGCCCAAATAAACTCCTTTAAGTTATTTACATTACATTGAAAAATTATATATCTTGTTTGTTTGCATTCTTTCATTGTATTTCAGTTTAACTGATTGTTCTCTTCTTTCTTTTAACTGCATCTAGTAATAAACCAACATGTTCAGCCGTAATTCAACCAGATCATAATGTGAAATCTAATCCAAGCAAAAGGCATCGTGAACGTTTAAATTCAGAATTAGAACATTTAGCAAGTCTATTACCATTTGAACAAAATGTTATTGTGAAATTGGATAAATTATCTATTCTACGATTGGCCGTCTCTTACCTTCGTATTAAGTGTTACTTTCATGGTGAGTATCCTTCATATACTTTCCTTTCTTTCGCTTTATTTTTAACACAATATTTGAAGTTGATGTTTTGTCATGGGTTTTCATAACTTCGCAAAGATAATATGACTATACATTTTATGAGGTAGTTCTGATTCCATCGAACAAATTGTAAAATAATAATGTTTCATTCAGTTTTATATGTTTTATTTATGTATATTAACGTTGCTTAATTTCAAATTACTGTTGCCAATGAATTTAGCAAAGTGGTGCTAGACTTATATTCTGTGTTATTTTAATACTTTTCCTGTGAACTTAGATATAAACTATAACTTGATTATATAACCCGTTGATACAGAAAATTTTAAAATGAAGTAAAATTTATTACATTTTGCACAAAATTTCTATACCATTTATCAGTTATCATGGATCTAAAAATGAAACTTTTTTAAGGATAAAATATTCACAAAATATAAATTACATTTGTTTTCCTTTATTTTATTACATAACAATATAATGACAAGAATAAATCTTTTGAAATACATCCAGGTTTCAACAGTTGAAGTCATGAGTCAAATGAAGATAGACCACCATGGAAAACCTGGAAGCACTTGACCGCCATCTCGTCCTAGTGCGTGACTCCTCAGCAGTGTTCATCTACGACCCTGCCTCGCGGGTTTCGGTCCCCTACTGAAACCAATCATCATATGATCTCTAGTGACGGTCTCCAAGAGGTACTTCCTGCAGTCTTAATGAGAAGTCGTAACCAGTGGAGTTCAACCGGGTCAGTTGTGAGATAGTAACCCACTGATGACAATGGTGGATGTGTCGCTCAATTTGGTGGAATGGTTGAAATTAGATATTAACACCGTTGGATGCCGGTGTATTGCTGTATTTGTTAGGCGCTCACGTGCGAGACTAATAGGTCGTGGGTTTGAATCCCGCGAGCCTTTGTCGTGGATTCACACTACTGAGGAGTCCCGTAGTAAAACAAAATGACCATCCAGTAATCTCAGGTTTTCCATGGTAGTCTAGTTTCAACTGACTCATGATCTCAACTATTGAAATTACTACAATCTCCACAAAATCCCCTTCTGATATATCCAGGTTTTTAAAAAAATTATTCACTGTTCTCATTCCCCATTTCTTTCTTATTACTGGTTAGGCCTCTTCTGATGTATCACATTGAATTTATGTAATCTTCAACTAACCTTTTAATATAGTATACTTATTTATTTATGGTTGAATGAATAAATCAGTGATTTAACAGAAACAATTAATCTGTATATGGTTTATAAGTATAGTTTAAATTCTTTATTACAATATATCTCTTGATTATTATGAATGAAATCTCTTATTTAAAAACTAAATTTTTAAGAGATATAAACAACATATAAACAGATCATTATTTAAAGCTTAGTTCATATCCATGTAAAAAGAAGATTAATTTCTACATACTTTCTTTGGATAGAATCTGTGCTAAATAAATCAAGTGGATATAAGCGTGAAAAATATTGATACATAGATTTCTTTCTTTTCTTTATATATATATATATATATATATATATATATATATATATATATATATATATATATATATATATATATATATATATATATATATATATATATAGATATATATATATAGAGAGAGAGAGAGAGAGAGAAAGAGGGACTTCTCACTTATCCAGCAACTATTCAATATATTAGTTACGTCGTTCGGTGCAGTTTGTTTTCAGTAGTTTATTTTCTTTCGAATGATAAGTCAATTTATTGTAGATGTTAATCCTTAAACATAACTATGATAAAAAAAACAAATTATGATTTAATTTATATTGGATAATAACAATTGACCTGTTGATAAATAACACCTATATTTCTTGGATAATTTAGTATTATCATGTTTCCACTAGTAACTAGATTCAAGATGGATTTCCTGGAGTTCTAGTGAGAAACTGTGATTAGTGGACTCCAATCCTTGTTGGGTGTGGGACTGTCATCCACCTCAAAAAATGGATGAAGGGTTGCGTAAGATTATGAATCGAGTGAAGTTAGTTATTAAGAACCTTAGATGCCGGCTCACTGGTTTAGAAGTTAAGCGTTCGCGCATGGGACCGAAGGTTCTGGGTTCGAGTCTCATGATGAGGACTGTGGATGAGCGCTGCTGGGGAATTTCATACTAGGACGAAACGACCGTTCAGTGCTTCCAGGTTCTTGATGTTGGTCTAGTTTAGATCGATTCACGGTATCAAATATCCCTCATTTGATATATTAGTATTAATTAAACGATTTCTGAAGTTTATATTTGCAATCTAAAAATTCTTATCGATAGATTTTCATTCATTTTATTGATAATTAATTGACAACTATAACTATCCATAACATTAAATGTGATGAGAATAGAAAGTGACTAAATAATTATTGAGATTTTCCTATTAAATTCATTTCTAAAGTGAAATTACATTGATGTTTACTCGAATAGGGAAACAGTGAAGTATTTGGAACATCTCGCCTTAAAACAGTCGACATTTTGAAAAGGTATATATATATATATATATATATATATATATATATACTGGTGATGAGTTTATTTTTACTTCGATACCTACTATCGTCAATGACTTAGATATAAATATTGATATCATTACCAAATATACGTTTGAAGAGAATAATTTTCTAATTGAAAGATATTTTTTACAAATGGGAATGATATGTATGAATATATAACACATATATGTATATCATTTCACGCTACCATAACTTGTCACTACCAAGTATTCATTATTGGGGAATTCCAATTATTGAGTTCTTTATATGGGATGGGGTCACTAACCCTATGCACAACCCTCTTCCTATATCTAAGCTAAAGGCTGGCAGTTTCGCCAGAAATATTCCTGACGGATATTCTTTTAATATTTCCTATGTTCATAATTTCTAACTTTCGGTTAAAATTGTAAATTTCTGAATTTTATTATTTTATTAAAACATACAATTAATCAATTTCGAGAGCGAGCGAGCGAGCGAAAGAGAATTATACATTCAAACAAGCAGATGTTCTATGACAGTTTACTCCGATACCAATGTGTTAAATATCTAGTTAAGAAGAAGTTTATATTTGAAGAAAAATTTACGAATATTATTTAAAATACCTTTTCTCTGTAAAGATATTTCAAGAATAAGAAAGTCCATTAATTCACTTTGACAAGGAGAAAGTCAATGGAATTTTTGAAGTCTACAAAATAATGTTAACATAATTGAGTCATTTATTTTTCTTTTAATAGTATAACGTACACTACAAAAAAGGCATGATGTGAAATTGATGATTTTTCTGGGAAAAAATTAACTAAAATAATGTTTCAGTAAAATTGTAAACGAGTATCAAATGACTCATATTTCTCTCTCCCTTTCTCTCTCTCTCTCTCTCTCTCTCTCTCTCTCTATATATATATATATATATATATATATATATATATATCGGCTTGTTTCTATATTTTGAAAGGAAAATGTTTATTTATTAATGTTATCATTATTGTTAGTAATAATACGACTTTCAGTGTTCATTGCGTTAAGTGTTAAGTATTTATATCAGGTATACTGCCAAGAAGTAAAAGTGTACTCTCCTATTTAGAAAAATAAACATAAAAATATATATAGATAAATATATTTACTATATTCTTGTTTGAATATACAGACAAAAGTTATACACTCCATAAATCTGTTATCGAAAGTCAAGTAAAGTAGTATAAAAATAATGACTTATTAAGTGTCATTTCTTCCTTGAATTCATTTAATACCTTCACATGTCTACACATTTGCCAAAATAGCCAGTATATATTAAAGTAATAGAAGATAATAACTACATTTTATGCTTTTTTACATGGAGTATTGATATTTAAACATCAGTTAATTATTATCAAGCATGTTTTTATTGACTTAATTGTAGACAATTGCTAATAAAATAGTAATTGTGGTGTAAGCTTACGAATATTTCGACTATATTATAATTTACATTAAGGGGAGACATTAATTAGACATTTTAAAACGAGGGGTCAAGGAAGAGCTTTTTGACTCCAGTATGGAACACTCCAACATTTCAAATTTATCACCCCATTGTAAGTCGAATCCAGGAGCTTAAAATCTCATGATGAGAGCTTAAACTTTAGATCATTTTAACACTTAAAAATTCCCAAAACAAGTTAACAACAACGCCAAAAATTTATTGAGACATAGTCGTTGATTTTAAATAACCAACTTCTGTCTGATCATATCCTATTATTTGACTAAAAAGTATCATTGCATAAGCTATTTCAATAACTTTCATTAACAGAGAATTATTAACCATTAAAATTTATTTTTGTAAAGGATTCTTAGTTATAAGCATATTCCCTCTAGAACGACACCAACTTTTTGAGTAATTTGGTCAGTAATTTATTACTATTTAAAGGTCATATTTACATAATCTCACTCAATATCATAATATTAGACTATAAAATTAAAACCATGATATTTGTTAAATGTAAGTTTTATCCATATATTGTTACTAATTAAAAAAAAGTTCTTTTCATCAATTAATAAATCACCAAGAATCCAATAATTCTGATATCACACAAATGAAACTAATTTTTTCCTAATTAAAAAAGTATTTTCAATAGTTGACACCATGAGTTAATTGAAGTTAGACCACTATGGAAAACCTGAAATCACTGCTGGATGAGCACTGCTGAGAAGTTCCACAATAGGACGAAACGGCGGTACATTGCTTCCAGGTATTCCATGGTGATCTAACTTCAACTGACTCATGATCTCAACTATTAAAATTACTATAATATCCGTAAAAACACCTAATACTAATACTGTTTGTACTTACAATTATTATCTCTTCCATGATTATCCCTTTTAACACTTTGGTTGATAATATGGATTTCCTTAAATCTAAATATACGAATAAATAAAAGATTCTATAGTTAAACTTATCTTTTTATCAATATTTTGTTTGTTTTTACGAACTTTAATACATATCACGT